AATATTCTACTTAATCTTGTCTCTAAATAATATCATGAAATCACAGTTCTGGTACTTTTAGCTTTTCTCTAACATACATTAAAATAAATAACCACTAAAAATGTTTGTTCATATACCACCTAAATCGTATTATTCACTCTATAAAGTGTAAAATCACATATACAGAGTAATGAAATCCACAGTTACAAAGTTCACACTGGGATTGGGGGATAGGGCAACTGTTACCAAAATTAAATGGTTAAAGGTAGTGTTTCAAGGTTACTGACATACTCCCCATAAATCTTTTGTTCTATTCAATTATTATCTACACACCAAATTAGAAGTTTGACTTTCCCATTAATTTATAATCTCATTTAAAAAATCAGCTGTTCCAACTAGGAATATTAACAACTTGCTGGGCAAAGAACGTAAGTTAAAGAGTAATCAAGTTCCTCAAATTAAAGTACAGAAAATGGGTGGATACAGAGAAAGTTCATTTAAATAGCACAAACTATGCTGGAGACTAAATGTGACAATCACAGTACCATAACCCAGAAAGTGCCAGAACAAGGTTGTCCAGGCCTGTACAAAACAAATAAATATAGGGTCCAAACTTCAATGAATTCTTGGAAAAGTTAAGGGGGAAAAAAAGAAAAAAAAGGAAAGCATCCACGCTTATAGCATTCTACAATATAGCTAAATCACTAAACCGGGCTTCAAAATATCCTTTCACCAACCATTATGAATATGCTATTCACATCCAAATTTCTACAAGATGAGAATTATGGCAATGTTTCAAATAAAACACTGAAAGAAGGTTTTCTGAGGCAATAATCTTCCTCACCTCTGTGGCCACTTTCCCCAGCAGCCAATGTGAATACCTACCAGAACAAGAGTCTGTGCTGTTCATCACATGACAACTGCTAAGTGTTGAATTATCTGAACAGTAGCTCTTATCTATTATGGAAAAAAGAGAGACAAACAATACTAATCACTTACTTATATTATCTTTTAATTCACTACTATGCTCCACAATAGTTTAAAAAAAATCAAACCCCAAAATAAACACTTCAGAAGTTCACAGATCAAAAAGCACTCTGTTATTCTTTCTCCATTGTCTTAGAGATATTACAAGGGACTTCCAAATTTTATCCTTTAAAAATCCAGAATATACTGGACAGATGAATCTGAACTACTTAGGTCTTAGAAGTGTGGTATGACTACTGTACACAATCAAGGAAGGCAGCCAGAATCTACAAGAGGGCAGAGTCAGTAAGAAGTTAGTAGTCAGGATCTGTAATAAAAAATTAGTGAACAAATGAGGTGCCTCATAGCAGCAGTAGGACCTCTCTTCCAGATTTCACTGCTTTCGTCTTCTATAACTTCTAAAATAGATTTCCTGGATAGGCAGACTTGGAGCTAGAGTAAGGGGAGAGCCTTCTCCAACAAATATTAAAGTAGAACATTCAATCTCAAAAACTTGCCAATTCTTATATACTGCCATATATGGGGGGAAGGGTGCACCCTTAAATTCCATTTTATGATCCAAAAAAGAGACACCTATATAACAAAGTTAATTTACCCCAAAATTAATACCTTAAGGTTTTGAACTTTATGCAGTGATAATTCCTAGAACTACTAAATTTCTCA